ATAGGACAGCCCAGTTTAAAAAAGAAAGCTTCGATGCTCTCGCACAAGCTTTTTTAAAATTTCATTTCACCCCGTTCAAAGTATTATCACATATTTCAATTTCACCACGATTCCCGATCTTGGTGACAAAAGTAGCCGATTTAGCGTGAAACGACCTGATTTGAATTTTCTATCTCGCTACCCACGGATATGAGATTGACCGTTGAAATTTAAATTTAAATGACGCAGACTCATAGCCCAATAAATTGGAATTTAATATTGCGTGTAAATCGACGGGATTGATGACCTGTTTCAAGGCACCGACAGATTCTGTAGGCGTCGCCGAGACATTTTTTCGTTGCACGAAATAGCAATTGGACTGATTGGCTCAGACCTCCAAAGTAGGCGTATCTTGATGTCTAGATCGTTCTAAATTATCGGCTTCATTCCACCGGACAGACACATTGAATCATAAAACGAATGCGACTAGAATCACTAATAATAAATCATAATCCAAGTATTCCAAGCATTTCGCTTCCAATAGTAGTTTCCTTTGTTTGTACACCTATTTTTCATAGCATTGTGTTTCCCCTACTTTCTTGTACTCAGAAGTAAAATAAATAGACACGTTACCTGCGTTTGGGTAAAAAACTTGCCAAGCCAATACGAAGAACTAATTCATGAAATTGAATAAGATTTCTCAATGAAAGCTGCGACAAATTTGCTCCAGTATTATGTCGTTAATCCTATCAATTTTGACCTTAATTTTCTTTTTTCTCATCAGAAGTATGAATAGTTACATGTTCTTACGTGAGTTCCAAATTTGTTTAGATTTGTACAAAAAAATCTTGTTATATATAGATCATCTCAGATTGTACTGTTTACTTGTGAAACGTATTCTAAGAATGAAGAAGTTAGATAGTTGTAATCAAAATTGTCTGCATCAATTTCAAAAGGATCTAATGACGTCGAATCACTAAATAAGGAACATTTGCCGAATGTTAGGGTACAATGGCGTTAACTAACTCTGATTCAGAAATTCGGAGCATACCAATGTGGCTTCCTAAATCTCGCCTGGCACTTAACTGGGAACTTAGAACGTCAGCGATTGAGGACACGGATGCTAGAACAGCATCAGTGCACTTACCCTCCATACGCATCCATGCGCATCATCCAGCCCTCCATATTTGACCCACTTACGCGCTGCGTACTTGCGTAATAAAAGCTCAACCAAGTCGCGCGCCGCTAGTACGATTATGACAGTTTGCTTTTTAAACTGCCTTACCCTGGAAGCGTCTCGCAGATGTCGGACGCAGCACGGGATAGCAAACGCGGCATGTATTATTAATGTGGATATTCTTTCAACCCCTTACAGTACGATTTATTTCGTGACTGTACTTGGCAACAAACTAGAGCAACATTGGCACGTACTTCTAAAATGTTAATATTGATTTTAAGCGTTATTCGCCCTTCGTGCGAATTTGACAGATTTCTAATTGATTGCAAATAAATAGTGCGTTCTAATATGAAAAAAATATGGAAAATCCACGTTTTCTAAGTTGTCTATGTGAATTCCTAGACTACGTTATTTTAATTGGTTAGCTTAATAATAACACCAGCAAAACGAAATTGGTAAGTTCTTGCGAACTAATTTCTTCTTTATTTATATTTTAATTGTTAAATTATTTTCAGACATTATTACTGTATTTCTAATCGTCTTATGTTTTCATTTACCCACCAGCTGTCACTTCACTCTAAGATATAAAATTGCATTCATAATTACGTTAAAAATTGATACTCATTCTCAAACATTGGGACTAAAATGTAATATAACAAATCAGAATGGTTACTGGCGGGTACGCAGCGTACAGTGTTAATAATATTGTTTATAGCTTCTTATATTTAGTAAAATCCACGACCTTTTCGAAATTCAAGGGTTCCTCGTCAAGGACTTTCCTAAAACAATTTATGTTGCGCTTCTTTTTCCAATTTGCGAAGTTCTTGGCATCTTCTCATATATCTATATAGCACCTTCACTAGACTATTATCTAAGCTCATTAAAAGTGTCAAAACTCACACTTGTCGATGTAACTTCATTACACACCAATGTTGCCCCGTGCTTACAATATTGGTCCAGTTAACGATACTAATTAACAATTTCTTAACAATTTCTAATCAGAAAAGGTAATTATGTATTTACTGCAAGTGTATGGTTACTGAGTAATGTCGATATTGGTAATTGTGAAATAATATTCCCTTTTAATAACTTTGAGGAATATTCGTATTTATCTAATTCGAAGTGTCTCTAATCTGTACTCTATCTTTACAGTATATCTAATGTAATATTAGAGAATAAGGAATTTACATCTGAGGGATGGTGGTACACAGTTCACATTCTTCTTAAGAAGAAGAGGCAAAACATTCGAAATGAGAAGCAGGAAGATTTATTTTCTGGCTAGACTTATGATTATGAGCTGGGATAACAATCATGTTAAATTTCTTCGTTGAACGTCACTTGTTAGGTCGTTAGAGTAGGGGATTTAAGTTCCTCGGCGCTTCTTAAACTTGTTCCGCTCTTTCAGTTCATTGCTTATCATCCTTTGCATGTTTAAGAGCACCTGACGCTCGGACAAAGAACATCGGATAATAGAAATTAGAATGAAACAGAAAGCAGGCGGCTATTGGAGTTCTATCAAATCTCGTAACCGATTCGCTTTCTAATCCTTGCGTCATCCGTACTAGAATTGTTGTAATTGTATAATTATCATTTGACATTCACGTCGTAACGCTTAAAAATGAGTTCATTAACTTTTCTACGCCTCCTTCGTATTGTATATCATTGTTCCACAAATCAGCAATAAAATACTGTAGCACACATCGACCACATAAATTCTAACGCTTCATATAAATAAAAATGAAACAACTGACATAATTGATATATATATATTTTAAGACTGCTACAAACATGACATTTTAAATTGTTTTAATTATTGTATACAGAATGAACGAGAATATGAACTTCATAGCTTAGTATATTATAGAAAATGAAAATTTGAAAAATTATGAGTAGCGGCTCTTTTTTTAAACTGTCTATATTGGTAATGAAACATTACTCCAGAAAAAGGGATTTATAAAACACTTGGTACAATTGTCTTAAAGCTCTCCTTAAACCAAGTTATTTTAGCTGAACAAATTTCCAATCGACCCACTTAATAAATTAAACTGATCTCGTTCTGTGGTCGACCATGTATATTCAGGATAATATGAACATTCAAGATGTCTTCTCAAGGATGTTTTAACGTCTAGAATAGCTTCTCTTAGCTTTCTTTCTAGCATATGAACTACATTTGTGCAAAACTTCAAAATTTATTATAATATTAATGTTGCCAAATTATCCGTGTTAGCAGTGTAGCAGTCTAGAAAGTGATTAATGAATATTGATATGTTGAGTAAATCGATACTAAAACGTCATTCTTTTATAATAATTAGTAACAACTCTCATGAACAAAGTGTTTCTTATTATTTCCAATGATTTTTATCATGTACACAATGATGGTGAAAAATCGTGATTCTATACGATCAAATAATTAAAATCAGTAGAATAAAATTTTCTTATTTGCGATCTTATCTTCGAAACTACATATTAAGTTTGAATATTCGTCGTACACATGTGTGCATAATTAATCCTTGACTAACTACAGATAATACAGTAGACGTCGTGCATAGCTTGATTAAATACAGGTGATACAATAGACGTTGTAATTTTTGTTTAAGATTTCATCTTGGAAAATTTTGTTTCAACATGTATTGTTAAATAAAAGTGCACTCAACAAGTTTCCAAACTAAAATTCGTTTGGAAAGAATTTATGTTAAAATATGTGTGAAATATCATACATGTGCAATATTTTACATAAATATTACAAATTTTCAAAACACCCACATAGTTACATGTTTGCATATAGATTCATCCAAAAATACTTTTTCCACGTTATTGCTTCTAGTTTTAAGTTTTATTGGCCTCCATTTTCGTTGACAAAAACAATTTACCCTCGTCTCCGGATGGCATGGAGCTCGTAAATACTTTTTCAACGTCAAAACATCGCTCCAACCTATAGCAAAATCAGGAAAGCAAATCTTTGCCATAGTGGTTGGTTGCACTTATTAGGAACCGGTTCTGGAGGCAACTTTTGTGACGAGATTCTTCAAACAGTAATAACTTCGAGAAAGATCGTGACATTGAAAACGAACCGTGTTGGCATTAAATTAACAACGGGAATGGGGAAACAACAGTTTTGGGATGCGAGGCGTTCTTAATGACTCGCATGAGCATTCTACACCCGTACATTACGATCTAAAAGTTTCGAGCAGACACTGTTCGCAAATAATGCTACGAGGTATACAGACCGTGACGCACATGTGTGCATTATGTTACTCACAATTGGAACACTTTACAGTAGAAACGAACTGCATTGTAGGTCATTAGCATTGTTCCTCGCAAGAATATTTGTTTTCATTACGCAAACAGCGAAAGGATTACAGTCAAGGTCGCATCAAGAACAGACTGGATATAATTTCTTCATTTTTTAAGATACTCGGATCCAATCCACGCGATTTATTCGAAGAAATAAATCCAGAAATAAGTCCATTCATAACGGTAAAATAACATGCACATAGAATAAAATATGATTCAGTGACAAAAGCTTCTGCCACACTATCTGGTTTTAGTTGTCCTGTCGACAATTGACATTTGATCCTGTGCACTCATTTTACATAACGTATATGTATAATAATTTCCTAATAGCTTTTATATTTTGGTTACATATAAATTATGGAGTACATATTCTTAGAGGGTCAGTCCTTAGCGACACCTATCTTTTAATCGAAATAATAATTGCCAATGTTTTTCAACCCCCATCCTGACAAAACTCTTGAATGGTGCCTATGTTTATTAAAGATTAAATAAAATTAAATGAGATCGTTTGTATTGTACAAAAACAAAATATGATATAAAATACACTTACCCAAAACATGACATTAAATCCGAATATCACATATTTGAGGCAGCAGCTCACTTCACTGGTATCCCTTCTGTACTTCCGCACGGCAGGCATGGCTAAGACACATCTATCTATCGCTTGTACGAATCATATGTGCACACAACACACCCACCAAAACCGAAAACCACTGTACACACAGAACAGACAACACTGGCCTCTCTTGGAGGCAAAGCCTATCACAGGTGCAACGACATAGCCACCGAAATTCAATTCTTTCTCTCCACGGTGTTCTTTTCTATAGATTCCTTTTATTAACTCGAAATGGGCTCTTATTCTATGTTTCTCTTTCCTTGATTGACGGAGACGATCAGCTGATCAGAATAACGCATCTGTCCATAATTATAAGAACCGTCATTGTCACATCATAATGTATAAACACTACCCGTAGCTGGCTCGAGACTGGAGCGGGTCAGGCTTTCCACTTCCACTTACTCCCCTCTTTCCCTCCACCAAGCCAAACTCGTTCGCATGCCCCACCATCGCTCGATGGTTCACCCTTCCACACTTCCTTCTCCCTCCCTCGATTGCCGATTTTCGTATCACTCTCATGCTTCTTTCCCTTTCTATATAGCCAGTTCTTTTTATCTTACATTCTACATCTCTCTCTCCGCCGTCTATCCTTGTCAATTGATCCCGGGTACTCTTTCTCCTTCCAAATCTTCCTTCTTACGTTCATCATCCGTCTATTTTCCTGTGCTCGTTCTACCTTGCACAAGTGCACTCTGTTCTCTATATAGAAATCTGTAACAAAACTCACTCAGTCGTTTTCTCGCATAATCGTAGGGGTAGTGATTTTCGTTCCGTGGATGCATATATCGATTTACTGGGGTGCTATTGTTTTATTTTGTATAATGCCTACTGCTTCCTACATTTTTACTTCAGTGTAAGATTTTAAATTCTTAAATAATAACTAAATAATCTTATATATTAGCGTGAGTAAGGGTGAAAAGTATTGCATCACAATCCTAGTAAAATAATTACTTTTCAACTTATTGTAACCAAGATCGTTAAAAAATTCAATTCAATTCACTCATTTTATATTTAAAGATTTATTCGAACCTATAATTCTCTGTTGAAAGATATAAAAGCGGTGAACTGGTTGTTGTCATTCTCATAATCAACATACATGCACACACTTCTTATCAATGATTCGGTAGAGATCCATCAATTCTTTAATGTCAGAATAGTTATGATTTTTATGTTTCTATATAAAGCGAGGAATTTATTTAGAGGAATATTATAGATCTACAGAACTATAAAAAAACCTTTGTCTTGGCCTTATGTTTAAATAAGGAACTGTATTTACAAATATTCCCATTAAGATTATTATTTATTATACACGTATTAAATTTCTATATTTTCGTAAAATACAAGAAGCGACAAATTTAAATTATTTTAAAATAAACTTATACTTTATATTGTTGTTATAGTTAAATATAACGCACCGGGTCCGCGACTGCGTATACTTATTGTTAGTATTGTAGAGAATCTTTCTCCACACCAAAATAAAACGAAAATCAAGAGGTATGAAATGACGATTTCAATTTTGTTTTCAAATTATAGTAATTCAAATTCATAACTAACGCCCGAGATGAATTATACCTATTTCTATCTCTTACGTTTTACATGGTTCATCATTGTTTGGACTCTTTCTAACCTGACCACTGCACGTTATTATTGGCGGGTCAGAGAAATTTTGAAGTATTTATGATAAATGAAAACCTTCTGTCAAAACTGCAATATCTACTATTGGATAATACTTGCATCAAATTTGAATTAAACGAAGTACTTTTTGAAAAAATGCGAGAGCTACATCTCGGGAAAAAATTTGTTCACATCCGGAATTTCGAAGTCTCCGATGTAGTGCTCCACCAAGTGGCCAATGACACAATTAATACGATGTTAGCATGGACTAGAACCTATGTAACATGGATTTCATGCCAGTTTTCTCTTCTCTACTACTGCCACCACCCTGAGTTTCCTGCGCCGGTTCAGTCGCGTCGCAATCTGGACAATAGTTTTTAATGACATAACCATTGAGAAGTGATAATGGTTGTTGTTAACATTAAACTGTAGTTTAATAGTCAAGAAGTTTTTATAAAAATGTCTAGTTGTGTGATTATTTTGTGTTAAAATTGAAAATATACATACATGTATTAGTACAATTCGTTTTTATGATCACATTTTCTAATTGCGCTTTCTATGATCAACATTGACTTAGAAACCAATTATTTTATGAACTTTTAATTATACTTCTCATAATACATGTTCATATTGTTGTAAAAATGTCAAATGAAGTGAAAGCAATTTTAAAAGAAGCTCGACAACTGTTTCGACAGGATGAATATTCGGGCGTCATCAAGAAATGCAGAAAGATACTAAAGAAAGATAAAAATAATTATAATGCGCTGATTTTAATAGCAGCCGCAATGAGAGAATTGGAAGAATGTAAATCACAAGTACCTTTGGTACTTGAGAAGGCAATACAAATCGAACCTGACAATTCATTAGCTTGGCAAGGTTTGGTAGCCTACTATGAAAAAAATGTAGATGATAATGACTGTCGAAGCAAATTAATATCATCCTATTGCAAACTGTTGGAAACAGACAGGTATATAATTATTATATTCTGTTTAAATCTCACTTTTCTCCTTCAACTTAAACGTTTTATATTTAATTTACTTTTTCCAGTACTTTTAAGTTTTCACATATTCTAAATAGAATATTGGAGGTTTCTTTGCAAATAGAAGATGGCACAGTACTTACTGAATGTATTGAAAGTTTATGTGAACTACAAAACAAATTAGATAATGAACAAATAAAGACGTTTAATGTAATGTTTGCACAAATATTAATACATGGTTCTAACATTCTAAGCAAGTATCAAGATCTATTAGAAAATGTTCTTTCGTCTGTCGTTAACGATGCGGAAGCTGACAATCGACAAAATTTCTATGGGAAATATTTAAGAGTGCTATATGATAAAGATAAATTAGATGCTTTAATGAAAGAAGCTATAAACATGTATGAAGAATTTCCTGATGATCCTGTACCATTAGGTAAATGTTGTCTATATATTCTATTAAAATATTAACATATTTATATTATGTTTACAATGGAAGCTCATTATACATAGTTGTCCACTTAAATATTTCTTCCAACAGCAATGTTACAAAAAATATTTTATATGGAATTTGATTGGTATCAAGAGGTAAATACAATATAAAAAGTAATTTTTTTAAGGTCATTTTTCAGAGTTTTCAAGGTCATTGATGTTAATTTGCATGTAAGTGCATATTTTGTTTTGTTGCATTATGTAGTTGATGTAAAATACATTCGGATGTGTAACTTTAAACATGAAACGACACGACCTTGAAATGACCTTTGACTCCAAACATGAAATTATATATATCTGTCGATATCATAAGATTTAGAGATACGAATACAATAACCTGCAATACTGCATGATGTAATAAAAAAATATGCAGTTATAAACAAATCTACATTGACGACCATAAAAACTCTTAAAAAAATCCATGAAAGAATACTCCTTTTTGCATTATATTTATCTCTTGCTATTGGAGGAAATATCTAGATGAACCACCTTGTATATCTTAAATAGTGATTTTAATTATTTTATATCACCGATTTGTTAAGCTACAAAGAGAAGTTTTTCATTAATTTTTTCTATTTACAGAATATATATGTTTCATTTACTATAAGCAAAATATCTTAAATTATAATTATTACAATGACATTAATATAACAGAATATTATGAATGTCTCAGAAAGTTAAACAAAGAATCATATAAAGCTGCAATTGCTCAAGCAGTGCATTTAAAGAAGACAAACAATTTGTTTATGGCACGTCAAATATTAAAAAATACACTTTCAACAAAACCAAATCTTTTATATGGTTGGATTATATTAGGCGAAATAAATTTTCAACTACATTGTTGGGAGGACACAGAAAATACAATGAAACAAGCCATGAAATTTGTAAACAATAAAATAAATGATGAGTTATTGTATAAAATGGAATTAATATTGATAGA